CTCCCAGCATCCAGGGACTCTCTCACTGCCAGTCTCCAGCCGCTCCTCTCTCTCCCCACGCCAGCATCCACCTCTCCTCCACAGGGAGCCGTCAGGCCAGGGTAAGTCCCACACTACAGGGCTCTAACATGCCTGAGGGGATAAACCTGGAGGCTTGGGCAGGTCAGACAATGGAGCTCCGTCCAAGAGCTCCTACATCGAGCTCTCCCCTGCCGCCATGCTCAGGCCCCGCCCCGCCCCCCGCAGGTGCTGCTCAGATGTCACATGTGTTAACAGCTGTGAGATGTTTGATTACTTCTCATTGGCAATGAGTACAAGGTCCTTTCATGATTCATATTTAATCCTCAAGTTGCGTATATGTAACTCTTTTGTGACCAATAGCAGTCACTTGTCCTTATTACAGTCCTATTTGGATCTTGATCATGACAACTTTTTCAAATGTGACTCCACTTTACTTAACCATTTGCCTTTATATGACTCTGCTGTAGCAGAAGACACTGGCAAATTTAGCGAATCCTTTACAGGCCACCTCTCCAGCCAATTGCCACAGTCCGAATATTTTCCTGCAAGATGCCAAACTTACCTGCTGCCTTGCAGCTTTGAGCTCTGTTTGGAAAGTTCTTCTAAATTTTACAATATCGTACCTCACAAGTAACAGTAATGGGGCCACTTTCCCCTGACCTTTTGGATTCTACTCAAAGGCGCAGTAGATAGTGTTCTGCCCAATCTACCCCCTGGAAAGCTGTTTGTTTAGCTCCACCTTAACCTTAAAGTACTTTCAGAAACACATGACAGTAAGACGGCTGGGCACCCAGGACTTACTAAAACTTTTTCCTTTTTGTAGGCTTTGGTGGCCCTCTCTCCATAAGGACTCCCTGTCCCTGTTCCTATGTGAAAGCTTGCAAAACCTGTGCTTGCTTTAAGTCCTCAAAAGTCAATCCCTCTGGATTACCCCTAAAAAAAAACGCATCGTAGGCTTCAATATTCACTCTCAATCTGGAGCTGTTCCCCACGTTCTTCTCCTTCACCACAAGATGTCCTTAGCCTTCTGGATTGATTGTCTACTAGAAATGCAAAACATTATTGGCCCACCCCCTGAGAGGACATCAACTAGGCACTCCGCATGCATGTAATCATGCAGAGAACACCACTCTTTGTGTCATCGAGGACTGTTCACTGCTGGTAGAAGACTGAAAAGGGAAAGAAGGCAGTCTGTCTCATAACCAGGTTAAAGACCTCAGATACATTTTATTTATTTTTATTTCAGGTACTAATATAGCGCCGTCAATTTACGCAACATTTTACATATATATTGTACATTCACATCAGTCCCTAACCCTCAAGGGACTTACAATCTAAGGACTCTAACTTACATTCATACATACACATACTAGGGCCAATTTAGACAGAATCTAATTAACCTACCAGTACCCTGAGGAAACTCACGCGGGCACATTGCAAACTCCAGGCAGGTGGTGCTGTGACTGGGATTTGAACCAATGGCCCTAGTGCTGCCAGGTGGAAATGCTAACCATTTAGCCACTGTGCCAATGTGAGTTTCAAGGTAACCGTGCCCCAAATAAAATCTAAAAAAAAAAAAAAAAAAAAAAAAAAAGCTTAAACTGAAGCCATGTATTGGTTATTTTCAGAAGTTCTAGCTCTTATGCATTCATAAGATGCCAATTTGTGGAAAATATTGTGAACTCAACACATATGATTAGATTGAAGGTAAATAAAATTAATTAAAGTGAAGTAAAATAAAGTGACAGTTCAATGATAATGTCAATAAAAATCCAATATTCCAATAGTATGAAGTCCCAGTGCACTTCAAGTGCTCAATATATTCACAAAGAACAAATTGAAGGCTCACTAGAATATATCGACCCCTTATATGTAAGAAGCAAACAATGCTTTTAACAGGGGGTTAAATGCACATGATAGAATACACCTCTTTCCAATTAAGATGGACTCTTTCTATTCCACTCCCTTCTTACACTTGTGTTACGGTCTAGAGTCAGGCTCGGAGGCCAGTAGCTATAGCTAACCAGCAGGATAGGTATACAAATAGGTTACTCTGGTGCTTACACACATGCTTACACATGGTTGGGGGGTCCTAAGTACTAACTGGTATTCACCAGAGCTCCTGATTGTGGAGATGGGCTTTGCTGCCTGTTATTATCAGTTTGTGACCCTCAGCTTCACTCCACCAAGAGATGGGCAAGCTGGGGTCCAGCAGGAAATATATAGGAGGTAGGGATTAAGCAAAAAATGTAGTTAATAAACAAGCCAAAGGTCATATCAAATGGTAGCAAAGATACAGCAATAGAAGTGAGAACAGTATGATATTGGCTGGAGAGAGCATAATAATACGGCAAACAGGAAATGCAAAGGCATGGCTTAAATAGGAAGTTCATGGGAGGAGCAAAGAGTTCATGGTTCACAAAAAACAAGGTACAAGGCAAGATTGCCTAATGGGTCAGACAGTATCCTACCCCGCACCTCACGTGGCTCAGCGAGAAGACTTACTGCCAGATACAGCCGAGGTAGTGGATTCAGATCCAGGCCCTGGAAACAAGAAATTAAAAGGAAAAAAAAACCATCCATAGTATAGTCTATTTTTAGAACAGACCGCCCCTCTTTCCCCCTATACCACACTCACAATTAATCAGTTGCATAATCACCTAAATAATAACTTTGTAGACTGCTATAGTAAAAGGATCACTGGACCAAAGGACTTGTTATAATATCTGAGTCAAAAAAGGGATTTTCCTTAGATCAACCCATACTCACAACACATACTTTGTAAAAATAAAACATAAGGGTGTAGCTCTGTTCCTAAAATGTAGTATTAGTGCAATCTTCAGTGCTCAATGTGATAAGTACCGTCTGCCGTGAAGGAGTCACTCCGTAGTACATTACACCTTCCCCCTTCCTATACCCGAGGTTATCTCAAAATAAATGATTGTGAAATGATATATGCTGGAGTATGGCTCCCTAGGAAGATCCATCCATCCTACAAGCCACCTTCATCTAATGCAAAAAATGCAAAAGATGTGGTTTATAAACAATATCTCCCCTCCAAGTGAACGTACCTAAGGGGTGGTACTAAAATACACCTCCCTTGTGAGACACTATACATAAATTCACCAAATGCATATAAACAATAAATAGTGCAATAAGCTCTATACATTAAACATGGAAAATAGAAATCTGCAAGCCACCTTCCTTCTTTGCAAAAATTGGATGGGTATACGCAATATTCCCCCTCTAAAGTGAATGTATTCAGACATGAAACTATAGTGCACCTCTCCCTAGAAATACCATGCCTAAACTCACCAATATAAATAAACAATGAACAATAAAAGTGACATTAATGCAATAAGCACTATACTATAAACATAACAAATAAAGCAAATAAAAGTGTCAGTACATAAATCAGATATTTTTGAATCAGGAAAAATTATAGTCCATTAAACACATTTCTTGTGCTCTAGTGTGCTATGGGTGATAGTGAAAAAAAAAACCCACTGGTTTTCTATATACCGGACCATGAAGGAAATGTACCAGAGGATCGCTCTAATCTTCCATATACTGGACCATTAAAGAAAAGAGAAAAGCTTCTATAGTGTAAAACCTTTTAATATTAAGATAGGAAAATCTTTTAATATTAAAAATGCAAAATACACACTTCCACTAGTGAGAAGTATTAAGCACTTAAAACTTTAACGCCATGGTTTCCACAGCCACAACCCAAAAACTGGAAGTGATATAAGTTAGCCCCTCCCAATGTGTTTTGTCATCATGACACCATCAGGAGTGGTGCCATCTTGCCTCACCTCCTTCCTTTTATACCCAACAGTAACTTAGCAACATATTAGTCCTCCCAGCCACCATATTATTGGAGTCCTGCCTTCCCTATATTTGGAATCATGCACGCCAGTGAATGGCAATGTCCTGAGATCAGATGGTGCATTGGCCAGCAGCCAGTTTCTTGGGGTCCTAACTGATATAACCGTACACATCTGCAGTACACAGTGTGCACTAAATTTGATTACAAATACTTAACATCGACCATTTTCTAGATGTTCATACATACATATCCATGTAACCACAACTCCATGGAAACCAAAAAAAATGTTCAGTCCCAGGTATTGGACTATGGCCATTTTCCCGGAGTCCGCATCAACTTGGATATGTATGATGGCAATATGGTCTTACAAAAAACACACAGTTACTTTGTATTCCTGTAAGGGTTTCTTGCTCATTCCAGATCCAGTTTGTGCTCATAACCAGAATAAGAAACAGAAAAACTTTCATAGTGTAGTATATCAGATAATTCCAATATGGCACAATTAAATTATATTCACGTAACATTAAATACTATACAGCATACATGTTATGATCTTACTAAGTCTCACCAAATATAATTGACCCTCTTAACATATACGTGAGTCACATAAGAGTATTACTATTAAGGGTACTGTCTCTTTAATTGGACCATCAATGATATATAGAAGGAGGCTCACCAAAATTTGATGACCTTTTCTTTTACAAAGTGAGGCAGAAGAACACTCTTTAGGATTAGCCTGCCATTCTTTTTTTCCACCATTTCTTTCCACCAATACAGCAAAGGAACAGGATCCACCATATTAAATGCTCACTTCCTAATTCACAGCCCAGCAAAGCTTCATAGTGTAATTATAAAAAATTAAAGTGCTTTATTTGTATTAATATTACTCACAAACTCATTAAGAACCACGTGCCTTTAAAATCATAATAAAAACAAGCATTTCTGGATGCCCTTCTTGATGGCATCATTTAAGGTCAATTTGTTTTGTCATGTGACTTCCTCAGGATGTGATGTCATTGTTTATAAAATATAGTTTGCCAATCCTTTGGGTCCACATTTCTGCCTATATTTCCTTAATAACTGGATAAGATGTCAGAACTGGAGGTACTCTATGTGCCATTTTCTCAACCAATTCTCCCTTCTATTTGCCTCTACCTCATTACCTCATTGCTTGCCGTTACCAAATAAAAGAAACCCCTAAAAATAGGCTCCATTAAATAAGCTACCATATTTACTCTTGAAGTATATCGCTATATGTTTACAAACAGTCACAGATATACAAAAAAAGCATTCTACAGTTCATGCCCAAACTCAAAAAAGCCTATGAAAAAGGTACCAGGGGCATCTCATGGGGCCCCCTACTGACCCCGGGCCCTCGAGCAGTGCCCGAGTTTCCAAATGGTCAGCCCGCCCCTGCACCACAGTATTTGGGATGTTGTTGCAAGGAATAAATGACACTATAATTCTGATTTCTTGATTAAAGAATGTCTGTTGGTAGTCCTGTTCAAAATGGGGCTTCTGTGCAAATAAATTAATACCAGGAATTAATGACACTGTAATGTTGATTTCTAGATTTTTCAATTTCTGTTGGTGGTCCTGTTCAAAAAGCATTGTAGTACTAATACGTTTTATAATGAATGTGCATGTAACAGATTTTATGTGTGTGCCAATTCTTTGAGAATAAAATATACTCTTATGTTGATATCTAGATTTTACAATTACTCTTGGGAGTCCTGTTGAAAATGGGGCCTACTACAAATAATTAAATACTGGGCACGTGGACAGAAAAATAATTGGGGGGAATTTTCCTGTTGATATATTTCACTGGATGTTGGTCCTGCCCTAAATAGTACTTAATAACAACAATTAAATACTGTGCATGTGGAACCAAAATTATAGATTTTTTTTTACCTATAAATATATTATATTGCAGCGTTGATTTATTTATGATAAAATCACAGCAGGGTGTCCTGTTCAATATGGGGTCTAGGACAAGTGATTCAATTCACCTTAGACACCATAATAATTTTCAGCATTTTTTTCTGTAAATAAGTTAAACTCTAGCACATATTGTTGATTACCAAATGGCTGAAGTGGGTCCTGTCGAAAATGGGGCCTAGTTCTAAAGATTCAACTCTGTAGTGCACATAGGCACTACAATATTTTGGGTTTTTTTTAAGTTACAAAAAAATTGCTAGCAGCATCACAAGTAGTTAAGTCAAGGTGTTTGTGGACTGTGAACATATGCTTTGTAATTATTTTTTTTTTGACTGTGAAATCTAACACCCTAATTTTGAATTCTTGGTATAAACCTGGCTGCTGTTCCCCTGTGAAACTGTGGCCTAATAAATCCCCATTCCATTCTCAACTCTTATGTCTCCTTGAGAAAGTCACCATAGTGGTGACAAAACATGTTGTGGTTCCACTTTCCCCTGGTATATGTAACACATTATTACAATTATTTTGTATGTATTAGCTAAGCTACATTTTAGGCACAGGAGATGCTATTTACTGTATATTTTTTCTGAATGAGTGTTTTGGCCTTTATACAGCAGTGAGGATTTTGTTTTCAAGGCTCTTAGAGTGGATCCATTTAGTTTGGGTTCATACAGTACATTCAATCATCATGAACTCTTTAACTGTGTTATTGCAGCTTTCACATAAGGTACTTACCCATCTGGCATATCTCTTCATACACATTTAGGTCTCACAGGCTGGGCTTCTTTCTCTGGACTGTTTGGCATTTGCAGCTTATTTGTTTGCACACAGCCACTGACGTGCGACACATAGCAATGTCAAAGTTTGACAAAGATACCGTTTTGCTTAAGAGTTAGTATGCAATATTATCCTCTGATATGCCTTTGGAGCCACTGTTGGTGAAGATATACTAAAGTGACCTGTTCATTAAATAGAGCATGTTTAAAATCCTTTTGGTCAGACCTATTTGTAATTTGCAAGTGGCTGATTTTGTAGCTACTCTCTCATCCTTGGCCATTTATTGGGTATCCATTGCTTATTTATCATTTTAACTTTTCAATTGTTTCTTGGTTAACTTATCATATGTTTTATGAACTCATGCCTATGTGCTCCCTTGACTAGGTTTTGTGAAGGTGCTAATATTTTATTACTTGAAAGAAACAAATAAGCTGTGTTGAGTTGCCTTGACTTTCTTCTGTGACTTTTTCCAGATGAATATAGTTTTTTGGAACCTTTAGATCTATATTTCTAACTTTGACATCATAATTATTTTGATCATATTTATTATCACCCAATATTGACCTTCGTCAGTAGTAATAGCAGTTTACATTTTTATATGGTTACAGTCATTGTAATAAAGTTTTTTAATATTTTATCACAAGATTATTCTTTTTTGGCGTACATAATTTATTTCTCTCTATATGTATTTATATATTACATATCAAACCACGTCACATACTGTGCATGGGCTGAACCATTTTTTTTTGCAGTGAAATATTACACTTTAGTTTAGATTTATTGATTAATACCTGCCTGGTGTTCCCCTCTTAAACCATAGCCTAGTAAAGCTGTTTACATGGTATGTATATAATATATCCAATATTTTTGGGCGCTTTCAGTGAAATAATGCACTCTAATTTTTATTTGTAATTGTAAACCTGGCTAGTTTCACCCTCTTCAATTGCTACCTTGTAAAAGTGCATAATACCCACCAGGATATTGACCCCCCCCCCCCCCCTTATTTACTCCCCTACACCCTTCCTTCTCCCCACTCTCTCCACTATCTTCACAGCTCTCTTATCTCTTTATCCTTACATTGAGCTTCCATGATCCTCCATCTGTGCATATGGTATGAGTATGAGCAGTTCTGCTTGTACATGTTTAGTACATTCTACCTGTTCATATAAATTGATAAATGTATTTGTGTTTATTATTATTATTTATTAAATTGTAACATTGTGTTAATTAGATATTAGACAGTTGTTGCTGACAGTCTAATCAAAAGCTGATTTTTTTGTCCCTGTACCCTACTGCATCTTTTGAAAATCCACAAAAAATTAGAAAAACCCAAAATACACAAACCCTTATTTTGGCCTTCGGAAGATTTACCCCCCTTCATGACCAGGCCATTCTTTGTTATACCACATTGTGCAATTTTAACTGACAATTACGCAGTCATGCAATACTGTACACAAATGAAGTTTATATAATTTTTTCTCACAAATAGAGATTTCTTTTGGTGGTACTTGATCACCACTGAGTTTTTTATTTTTTGCGCTATAAACAAAAAAAGACAGACAATTTAAAAAAAGAAAAAAAAAACAATATTTTTACTTTCTGCTATAAAACATATCCCATAAAAAATAAAAAAAATCACATCTCTTAATACATTTTGGCCAAAATTTATTCTATTTCTTTGGTAAAAAAAAAAATCCTAAGTCTATACTGATTGGTTTGTGTGAGTTCTGGTTCACATATATGGGGATTGGATGTGGTTTGAATCCGTGACATGTGAAATAACATTGCTTCCTATGGAGCCTGTTCACATATGTGCAGTACAACGGTGGTGCGAATTCAGTGCGGTTTTAAAAAGAGTCATGTACAATTTCTGAGCAGTGTGGTCCGGTTCAGGTGCGGATTAGAGGTTATTGACTTCTATGGGAACTGTTTCTAAACCGCAGATGTGTGAAGAAGGTAACGTTCTGACCTAATTCTGTCCTGAACCTGATGTAAACCTGACATGAACCACTGAACAACTACTGTGTTAATTAGCAGTGAAACCTGAGCTTCAATCCACACAGCACATGTGTGAATCAGCTCTGTAAGTTGTGGTGTCTACAAACTATGGGATATATACTGAAATTTTCATTTATTTATTTTTTAATACTAGTTATGGCATTATCAGCAACTTATAGCGAGACGGAGGGCAATATGACACTGACGGACACTTTGTGGGAAGTAACTAATTGCCACTGATGTCACCAGTGATATTATTACAGTGATCAGTGCTAATAATATGTTAATAATATGTACTAATGACACTATGCATGAAGGGGTTAACATCAAAGGCGATCAAGGGGTTAAATATGTGTCCAACAAGTGTTTGTGTGTGTACTCTGTATCAGGGACGGACTGACCATTTGGAAACTCGGGTACTGCCCGAGGGCCCGGGGTCAATAGGGGGCCCATGAGATGCCACTGGTACCTTTTTCATAGGCTTTTTTGAGTTTGGGCAAGGACACAGGGGCCCCACAATCCCCTATTGCCCAGGGGCCCCATGAGTTGTCAGTCCGCCCCTGCTCTGTACTGCTTTCACTGGGGATCTAATTGTTTTCATTGCATGTGTAAAAAATGAAAAACCTGCTAGATCCTTTGTCAATGAACACAGCCCTGTGCCGTTTACACTAACAGAACTGTGTTCAGTGAGACACAGAGCCAATTGCAGGGTGCCAGCGATCACCCACTGGCCAAGACCAGGTGATTGGCATGTGCTCTGATAAAACACAGCACAACCGGGCAGGCGGGTGCACCCCCTAACCGGAAATGCAGAATCGTGTGTGTGTATATATATATATATATATATATATATATATATATATGTGTGTGTGTGTGTGTGTGTGTGTGATTCTGCGTAGTCCGCCCACACTGTTGCAGTATATGTACAGTGTGTGGTCGGCAAGTAGTTAAAACACAACTTCTGAGTCATAAAAAAACTCCACTCCATTAAAGGCCCTCTCTGACATGACCAATGCAGCATGGCATGCTATTACCTCAAAAGCTTGCTGAGACATCCCCAGACACGCAAAAGTTAATGAAAGTGATCAATAAATCATTGTGCACCCAAAATCCATGTGCCTTATAATATAGGAAACGGGATTACCAATTAGCCATTTGTGAAATTAATACAGTCTTTATTGCATCTTCAAAATTCAGGAAAATAAAGAGCTTTCTTCAATAAAGAAATCTAGAAACACTGCACAGTTCTTGTATCAAGAAAAATGCCTGCAAGTGTGTTAACCCTTTTGGGACCAAAATTCATATAATCAGTGTTTGGAGGATCTTTCTCATCCGAAATCTCTGAACCTCTGAATTTCAGGTCTCAAAGGAGGAATTGAAAATTATTTCTCTCCTTTCCAACTGGACTACCTAGGAAACCTGCTGCTTTGAAGATGCTCGCTGACATTATGCAAGCAATAGTGTAGGCTAGTACCTCAAATGTATGTTGGGCCACCTCCAAACAGTTGTCCAACCTCAAGACCAAACGGTTCTTGAATGTTATTGCTTATAAGCAGTCTATTTACAGCCTTGCTCTCCCTGCCTGTCATCTTTGCTTGACCACTGCAGGGTTGGTCTTACACTGAAAAGCAACCCAAACATTTTTTATGATAAATATTTTGAGTAATAAAAAAGCTAATACTGAAATATTGTATTTTCCAAATAAATAACCTAACATAAAAATGCAAATATACTGTTGGTGGATAGGAAAATGACTGAGCCTCAACCAATGTTTGGTTCTCAGCACTATCAAAGGTCATGTTTCTGCCCTTTTTATCTTTATTTTTCATTGAATAAGATTTTTTTTTTAATTTGGAATAAAAAAGGCAGCACACAAAGGGCAATTTTGCCTGTGACATGGACAAGTGGCACACCCAAAACCAAATTGTGTGAAAGCAGCCAGCTTTTGTCCTTTACTTTTCCCCTGCAGCTATGGTTCCAGTGCAATAGAATAAAATCACCAGAATAAATGTAATGGCAGATATGACAAACAGTGGAACAAAATAGGCGGAGGAGGGGGGGATTCAGAGTCAATTTTGGCTGCACAGAAGTGTGTCACATACAAAGGCAGCTTTGCCTGTTTATGCAACAAGTTTGAAACTTATAACAGAAGTATGGGGTTTCCTTTTTTTAAAAAAAAATCATTCTTACCTAGGTGGATGCAGCATTGGTCTGATGCTGCATTTGTCCCCTGCCGGCTCTAAGGGTGAGAACTCAGTGATCACATGACCACTGATCGCTGAGTTCTCACCGTCACTGTGAGCAGAAAGTTGTGACTGTCAGTCATTGCAGCCTGCTCTGCCCCCCCTCCCCTGCGCACTCACTGGAGCACTGAGCTGTGAAGGGGGAGGGAGCAGCTGGCGGATTGCTGATAGGCACTATTGGTGTTTCCCAATGTAGCTATCAAAGTTTTTGTTTGCATTTTTTGGTATATGTCCACAATGGCAGTATCCAGCTCTTCATGCATTATGTTTGATAATCACTTGTCTATTGGTCTTGAAAATTGCCAAAATTTACTTTTCAAGATTAGACTTTAGTGGGGTTCTGATCAAAGATCACACTTTGTGAATTTTACAGTGAGGTTAATGAAACAAATTGAACCCAAGTACATTTGACCATCACTAGTCAACAAATAAATTCTGAGTTGTTCCTGTTTGTCTTTCACAGTATGAATGGTCAATCTATCCTGCACTAATGTTCTGTGACTAGCACATCATGCAGGGAGACATCAAAGAGGGCTAAAATAACAGGAAAGGCAGCAGAGATGATGGATCATGTGTGTAGGCATTGTAAAGTAAGTTCTAAGAATTGCCACATGCTTTATTGGTTTCATTTGCTATATCACCTACCTTAAAAGGGTCTGACCACCTCCTGCTCTGATAATACAGCACATATCTTGAGACTGAGATGAATCTGTCAGAGCAACTCTTAATTTAATTTAATTATGATTTTCTGTTTCCTCTAAAAGTAAAATCCATGCCTTCAAAGCATAATGCATTAGTGCCTCATATGAACTTTGATGTGAATTGATTCTGGAAAGGGGATTTTAAATATTTATTCCTTATCCTTACTGCCACAAACATACAGTATCCACATTTTAATTTATGTCAAAGGATTGCTTCCTTTGATAAATATACTGATAAACTTAGCATAATATATCATCAGACATCGCTGCCTCAGCAAGATCAGAAATACTTGTTTGATTTTTTATTAGAGCTAAGAAGACATGCTATCAAATCAAAACGATATATTCATCAAACAATTCCATTCCAGATCTATGTGGTCTTTAGACGTTGCTTCAAATTGAAAGTGGTTTGGATTCCCATGTGCAGTTTTGTATCCATGTTGGTTCTAGAAGGGATTCGATTCAGGGAATATCAGTCCCTGACGTCACTGCCCCTCATCACCCGGCACTCGAGGACGGCAAGTACACAGTGCGAAAGGCGCACTTGTTGTATCTACTGGCTATTGATTTTTTACAAAGCGTTTTAAACCTTTTTACATGTGAGTGTAATGGGCACACATTAAAGGCTCTATATTTTAAAAGGATAAGACACTATGTCTTTATTTCTTCTTATACTGAGGGATATACCAAGGAGGAGTGTTCCAGTCTATTAAGAGAGTGAGAGATCCCTGTGGGGATAGTGGCAGCAGAGGAGAGCCACGTTGAAGGAGTAACCACCATTATTGCTACGGTCAACTCATGGATATTGTTTCATCTGGTGAACATAACCTGTTTTAGCCTTTTCATAGGCTTTATATCAGGTGAGCGCATAATAAGATTATAATTAAAATCACTGGGAATTGGATCCAATATCACCTTGTCACGTGTACCACCAGAGACTGATTTATTCACTATTTATTTATTATTTTTTGACCATATTTATTTTTGTGCACATTGAATATTGGTTGGTTTTTACTAATCACTATTTATGTTTTTTCATTATATTATTAATAAGAGATATTATTTGGTTTTACACTATTATATAAGTATATATTATTTTTCAGTAATTAGGAGCGCGGCACTATTGTGGTATTTGTTGAGTCTATTTACGCATTGGATGAGTATGTGTTTGGTGCTGACTAACCTATTTTTAAAAAATATTTTTAAAAATATTTAGTGGCTCACAAGTTCAATTTATAATTTTGCATAGACATCTGTGTCAGATGTCTTACAAATCGCCATGTCCCCCTACTTTGAAATCGTGTGGCTTCACTGTAAGTCACTCGATTTCAAAGTCAGACTTGATGTGACTGGGGTGTTACTTATATATTGATGTGTACATGCTTTATGCACATGCATGTCCTGATTTACAGCTTTCCAATTTCCAATTATGTTATTTTAACCACTTGCCAACCTCCAGCAGTACATTTACTGCTGATGGGCGGCTTTCCATGCACTGGTGTGCCTCCTAAGGCATGCAGCAGTGTAATCCTGTGACCACGGTGTCCGGTGGACACAGCAAATCACAGTGCTCAGTACTGTGTGATCACTATGACTAATCACAGCAATCATATGATAACATGTACGCAAAACTGTCATGCATGGTTTTCATTCATGACAGTTTGCTTACTATTGTGATGCTAGGACATCACATGATACCTGGGCCTTTCACAGCAAGAAATTAAAAACCCAGTAGTGATTAAATACCATGAAAAGTAAGGTCTATTTCTGTGCAAAAAAAAAAAAACTTTATATGAATTTCATATGTGTATAGTGCTGTATAACTGAGCAATATCCAGTTAAAGTACCATTGTGCTGAATAGCAAAAAAATGCTTTGGTTATGAAGGGGGAAAAACCTTATGGGCGGTCAAGTGGTTATTAATGCCAGAAAGATGCTGTTTTTGTAATTGATTTTACATCATAATCTTTGGGTTTTGAAAACTTTTTTGCAGTTTTTACAGGCAACCGGATTTACAATTAAATCCACATTTTTGTATTAGGTCTTGTTCAAATGGGCCCATATACAGAGAACAGGCTGTTTCTTTTCTGACATTTCTATCATCCAGATACTGAGTGCAGGTAATCCAGTGAAGTCTATTGGGATACAGTGGCTCCACAGACACACTTGTCCACTTGTCCTAATGTGACAGGTGTGCTGGTGCGGTTCAGCGACACTAAACACATAATGTCCACTACAGGGGCGGACTGACAACTCATGGGGCCCCTGGGCAATAGGGGATCATGGGGCCCCTGTGTCCTTGCCCAAACTCAAAAAGCCTATGAAAAAGGTACCAGGGGTATCTAATGGGGCTCCCTACTGACCTCAGGCCCACGTTTCCAAATGGTCAGTCCGCCCCTGGTCCACTAACAGTTTTACTTAACTAATCCCTAGGGCTTTTTTTCTCAGAGAATAAGTGCAGGAACTCCTCTCCTTCTGAATCAATTCTTGTATCCTCCCCCCTACCCACCTCAGAACACATTCGCTTGGTTCCACCCCTACCCACCTCCCAGTACTTCGTATAGAGAATACACAGCCAAGTATCATTTTGTGG